ACATCAGTTACCAACACTATATACCTATCTACTATTCAATATTACCGTAACTATCATGTGGATCAAAGTACATTAGATATTTTTCTTAAATTTATTTCTCACAGATGTCCGATTGGGGTTATATACTTACTTATAATTTTTGTCCGTCTGTTTGTTCCGGATAATCTCCGAAACGGCTGGTCAGATTTTGACAGGACTTACACTGGCAGATAGCTGATGTTATAAGGGGTATCTAAGGCTACTTTTATTTTAGAAAAAGAATTAGGATTTCGCTTAAAAAAAACCTAGAGACGCACCCGAGCGAAGCGACGGGAAATCTATAGTATATTAACAAAAAACAAAATCTATATATAAAATCTATAACATGCTTCCAGCACGTGTGAAGACGCAGGTCCAAATTATTGTTGAAATAATTTGAATGTAGCCAACATAAAAAGACAAACTTATATTTTTCAAGTGTTAATGAATAGCGGTTTTGGTTGACATGGAAATACCTAAGTTATCATTTTCCTTATTATGTACGAGAGCATTCTATGTCGTGACCTATATATACCTTGAAAATATTTGACTGTAACATTTTTGATAATGTTTATCTAAGTAGAAAATTATGATTGCGGTTAAACTAATAACGTAAAGTATTCCCTAGATACAATAATATAAGAATAAATAGACTATATACTATATGATATATAGCCTATAGCCTTCCTCAATAAACGAGATATGTTATGCTAAAATATTTTTTCAAATTGGATTAGTAGTACCTGAGATTAGCGCGTTCAAAGTTCAAACAAACAAACAAACTGCGTGTTTATAATATTAGTATAGATGTAAATTGTAAATATCTAAATACGAGTATGTAAAAAATAATATTATGTGTTGTTATGTATTTGTAAACTATTCCTATGTTTACGATAAAACTTTAGTTCAATTGTTGTGTTCATCCTCAGATAAGGTTTTTCCCAAATATGGTACCATTAACGTTTGGCTCAGTCGACGACACGCTTGGCTCAGTTTCTAGTGACCCTACTTGCTGTGCCAGCGGTCGCGGGTTCGAGTCCCTCTGGGGGCATTCATTTGTGTGATGAGCACGAATGTTTGTACTGCAGTCATGGGTGTTTATATTTATAATATGTATATATTTAAAGTTGTATATGTGTAGTGTATCAACTATCTGGTATCCATAACACAAGCCTCGTAGCTTACCATGGAACTACATAGATGGTGCTGTGTGTTAATGTCCCAACAAAAAAAAACGTACGAAAGTTGGCGCAAAAGTCGTGTAGGATCGCTTGTGATCGTTTAATGCGAAGTATTCAATCAATTCATTATTCATATGTTTAACTATTGTTATAAATGAGAGAGTTTGGATGTATGTTTGGATGTTTGTTACTCAATCACGCCAGAACGGCAGAACGGATCTGGATAAAATTTGGCACAGAGATAGATTATAATCTGGAATAGCAAAAGGTTACTTTTTACTTTTTAGCCCGGAAATATATACGAATCCCGGGGAAAAGATGTGTTTTGCTTTTCAAAACAAAGTATCGACATGCGAAAATCTGCAATAGCATAAATAAGTGTTCTCTTAAAGGACACTCGCAATAACTTTTTATATCTATTTGAAACGTACCTAGAGACGAATCCGAATGAAGTCAGGGTAAATCGCTAATGTTTATACAAGAATCTCTACTTATATATTATATATAAGTAGAGATTCACCCACGCTCAGCTCGGGTTCGTCCCTAGTTACGTTTTGACGGTTAGTATAGATTTCTCAGATATGAGATATTTTCCCGCAGTAAAAAGTATCCTATATGTTGACCTCAATCACCAGCTATCACCTTACCAAATTTCATCAAAATCTGTCCAGTGGTTGTCTCGTGATGCGGTCACAGACAGACAATAATTGTAAAAACGATAGATTCGGTCTCTTTATCGATAATAATGACTATTTAAATAAGGTTTAAAAAAAATGTAATGTACAGATGGGACTCAGAATTTTATTTACACCTCTTAATAGTAGAGTATCACTTTACACCTCGATGAAGCTACGACGAGTTTAAAAAAAGTTTTAATAACTCAAGCGAACTCCTTGAGAAAAATTACTCTTTAAAAAAAATTAAGCATAAAAAAACAAAAGTAAAAATTTCTAATATTCTGCGTGTGAAAATTTCGAAAAGTTCAAAAACCTTATATAAACTTGCCGTTTCATTACAATTGGCCACGTGGATAAGCTTGAGCTCTTAGCACAAGGTAGGTAATCTATAAATATATCTCGTCCTAACAGACTTTATCATCGTCCAAAGTAAATCGCTACAGCTCGCATGTTTTGAATGATGAATGTTCCGAGTAATTACCGAGGATGTTTTAAAATTCATCCCCAGAGGTTAGAAAGTTGGTACCAATTTTAACATTTATCGAGTTGTTACAGTCGACCAAAGCCAGCGGTGGATGCTAGTATATATAAAATCAAAAATATCTTATTATTATTAAGCGGACTTTCAAAATTACCTTACCTTGTACGTAAGTGTTCAGTTCAATGGAGAAGTTTCCAATTTAATTTTATGTATTAATTATATTTTAAGTAAAATATATAGCAAAAATATAAAATAATTATTAAAATATCTCAACTAATGAGAAAGTTATGAAACTTTAGAGTTGTGTACACGTCTTTTGTACTGCAAAGGATATATTGTAGTATATACTTTGAATGTTGCGAATTTTCGATTAACACTAACGCCACACCTTATCGGAGTGTAATTAAACTCGCATTATTAAGTAACGATTTGCAATACATACGTACACCGGAATATAGAGAAAGAAGCCTATGTCACTCACGGTCAGGGTCATACTTGAGATTAAAAAGAGAAAGATTTTTTTTGTCGATCGGTCAGTGGTTCCGGTGACAACTTTCTATATTTTCTCACATATATATCTCGTTATAATATTAGAGTACTTTTGGCCTAATTACAACAAAGAAAATCGATAAAACCGCCATAGAACATGAATGACTTATTAACCGCGTTAAATAAAAAAATAAAAAATTTAATAAGATTCGCGAAGGAAAAGAAAATCCGATATTATATATTACAATTATATTATTATAAAATTAACAAAAGCATTGGTAGACTGAAACATATGTTCAAAGTTACAATATCGATATTAACTTATGCAGCATAATCGAAAATCAATAATGTTTGTCGATTTAAAATAAAACTATAGTGTTGCATACACGTGGAAGTAACAAGGCCACGTTAGTGACACGAAACAACCAATTTATTCCTTTGGCATAGTGCGCAATATTCGTTCTATGCCAATGTAGTATACATTTTGCTACTAATTTTTTGACCTAATTATCACGACAAATCATTTAAAAAAAACCATACGCGATCAATTTAATGATATGATAATAAAAATTAAATTATCGATAAATTTTACACACATCCCTATTTAGACCAAGCAAATACCGGAATTGGTACACAAAATTTCACGGACTTATTACGTAAAGTTTAAGGTTGAGAATCGGTTGATTTTTTTGGAAAAAACATCTGTATACCTTTCAATAGTAGCGAGACCCGTTATAGTCAACAAAAAAGGGATTGCATTCAGGCCGTAGACTTGTTCTGACTTGTACCTGAAGTAGGTATAAAAAGTTCATAATAAAACCTGATAAACAGCTGATATTAAAAAAAAAATGACATAGATTATATTACAACCAAATATAATATTTAAAACTAATAATAATAATAATAATTCTTTGTATTATTCAAGTTTAAAGTTCATTTTTTGTACTGTTTTATTAATTGTGTATTTACTAATTATTACTATCATTTATAAAATTCTAGTAAAATCATTCCATAGTTGTATTTCCTCGTAATAACAGGTAATTATAAAATACGGACAAGTTTAATAGCTTTGAAACGTATGAGATAAATAGTTCTTACGTGGTTACATTTAAACATGGTAGCATTACATTCGATAACTTTCTAAAAAAGCAGAAACTGAGAGGCGAATTAACGCTGTATCATTGTAAATACAGCTATGGCATATATATCCAGATTCTAAACATATGTTATGAAATAAAACAAAGAGATTACCTTATTAGCAAGCGTTACGTCTCACTCCACATAAAAACACCTGGGCTATAATATTACACTTCGATAATCGTGCCTTTTTCTCTTTAAATACATTATTGCACTTAACTAAATCCTATTTGATTGTCCAAATTTATTTAAAACAAAAATTGTTTTAGTAACAAACGACCGTTCAGCGCACGTCGCCATCAAGAACTACTACAAAAAAATGTCAGCTGGGTTTAGTCCGTTCTCATTGGTAAATCGATTAAAACTTCACGACCCTCTCACTTTATTATCTACCATCTCGCTTGCACGCAACTAAAAACATTAAATAATACTTTATTTCATCAAATTATTACAATCAAAATATTAAAATATAAGGATTTATCGTATTTGTGATGTTTTTTACGTACTGTTTTTGAAAAAAGACGCTGATATTTTCCAATATGAATCATATGGAAGATAAACAATGTTGTACGTCTTTCTATTGACATTTCAATAGTTCGTTTTCATTGGTCGGTACACAGCTGTTTTTGAAGGCTGTATAAATAGTTACGTAATTTAAAAAAAGATGGCAGCAGTCTTGTGCCAACAACAAGAAATGATAGTTATTTTAGTTCATTATAACTAAATCATATTTAATATTAGACATTTTAAAAATTGTTTAATATATTATTTAAAATAAATGGTATACATTTTTGTTTTGAATCGAAAAAAGTAAGTTGCTGATGCGACAGTTTCGTATGAATACGGAATTTATTTTGACGCCATTATTTTGTTGTCATAACAACAATATCATCATGGTCCATGGATGATGGAAAATGGCAATTGGCAACTATTCAGCAAGTTAATTAAAATAAGCATACAAATTAATTTTATCGTATTATATAATATATACATTAACTCTTAAATTTTAAATTAAGCATGGATACAATAGATCTATTGGCACGTGAGAATGAGTTCAAAAAACTTAATAAACAATTGGAAAAGAAAACCGAAAGTTTAATGAAAGAAATAGAAAATGCTATGGTAAGTTATTTGATATTTCTTGTGTTATTGAATATAGCTGGTATCCGAGTAGATAATTAGAAGAAGTTAACGGACGAGTATCATAAGGCAATATAAAATATTGTACAAATAGAGAACAAACAAACTGTAAGATGTTAAAACTAAGTGTAAAAAAGTGAATGTTTGAAATTTTGACTTTTTCGTAATTAAAGACTTATTAAATAATTTCAAATTTTCAGTAGGACAAAAAGTCTAGTTGAATATATTTAATACACTGAATATATATATATTTGCATACTAATTTAAAAGTTAAATATGTTTAAAAAAAATTAAAAATCCTCCTTTTTACAATCAAATGTTCATGTACCTGTATCTAAAATGTCTAGTACTTGCAATTTATATATTATTATTATTATACTTATATATTTTGTAATGTTTTTGTTTACAGCAAAAGCAGGATATATTTTCTGAATTTTCTACCAATCTAACGTTAAGTCCTATACATAAACAAACAAGAAAACATTGCTGCAACACACCAAAAGTATCTACACCAGAAAAAACTATGCAAAACTCACTCGCAAAAAAAGAATTTCCTAATAAAAAGAAAGATACAGACAAACAAGAAAACGATATTGAAAATAGCACAGATAATGTAAAAACTAAACACATTTGCAATTGTTGTATTCTAGGTGAAAATAAGAAAAGTAACGGCGATTTAGAATTTTTGTATGCATTTGTATCAGTTAATGTTAAGGATAATGTTTTGCCACAATCACTAATGAAAGGTAAGATTTATATTACAAAGTTCTCACAGAATAGAAGAATGGAGCTAAACCAATTTTGATGAAATTTATAATATAGTGAAGTGATCAAGGGTTTGTTAGTTATTTATAACTAGCGGCTCACCCTTGCTTTGCTCGTTCCCTCTAGGAAAACAATCGAGCTTCCCTTCAATACGAGGTGGTTCAAGCCATAGTCCACAACTTCACATATCTTTCAAAAACTTGCTAGTTTCTCTCAGACATGCAAGTTTCTTCACAATTTTTCCTTTCCCATAAGACAAGTGGTAATCATGTTGGATATGATTTGCACATGATAATCCAAGGTGCGAGGCCCGAGATTTGAACTCGCTACATTCGACTTCCCAAGCTAGCGCATTACCACTGAGCTACCACTGCCTCGTTATTTATAATAGAGAATTTTAATTAAATGTAATTTTTTATTTTACAGATAACATAACAGTGGAAAGCGTGTGTAAGTTTTTAGCAGCTAAAGTAAAGTTGATGCAAGAACAAATGGACAAGCTGCAGTCAAATATTAACAAGAAGGTATGCTATTATAATAATAATGTATTATCTAAACAGAGTTCTGTAGGAAAGAAACAAAAACCACCCTCCGGAATCCTAAAAACTGGTTCACAGATCACACCTATCACATAGGTGCAGTTGGGAACCAAAAATCAAAATGAATCCGCGAAATAATCCGAAAAGATAGTTTTATTTAAAATGTCAAATATTAGCGTAAATCTAAGAAAGTATTAAGGTTTTACAATTATATGTCTCAAAGGTCATTCATTACATACCTATATAGTTATGATATTGGAAACGTCGGGAACCAAAAAAATTTGAAATGTCAACCATTCGCATTAATCTTACAAAGTATTGAATTGTATATATTAAAACATTTAAATGGGTGTTTTTCGCTTTATAACAAACTTCATCAACACAACTTAAATTATCATTATTTTTTTTCAGACAAAGCAATGTGAAGCCCACATGACTCAACTCGCGGAACTCGAGAGCGAAAGAATGAGTCTATTAAATAAAACAAACACCATGAGATCGGAAACAGCCGACGTGAAAGCTAAATATGGAGTCCTACAAAGTAAATTAAATGTATGTAAAATGATTCGGTCCCTTATTTAAATATTGAATGATTAAAGCAAAAGTAACTCTGTCTGTCTGTTACGTTTTCACGCGTAAACCGCTGAGCCAATTTTGATGAAGTTTGGTATAGAGATGTATGGAGCCTTGGAGTAGGATATAGGGGTCTCCGAAACGGCTGGTCCAATTTTGACGGGACATTCACTGGCAGATAGCTGATTTTATAAGGTGTAAATTAGGCTATTTTTATTTTAGAAAAAGAATTAGGTACCTACATAATTTGATACTATACTATATTATGACGACACGTTTGGCTCAGTTTGTAGTGATCCTACTTGCTGTGCCAGTGGTCGCGGGTTCGAGTCCCGATTCCCGCTGGGGGGATTCATTTGCGTGATGAGCACGAATGTTTGTACTCCAGTCATGGGTGACTTATATTTATAAAATCTTTGTATTTAAAAGTATATGTATAGTGTATCAACTATCTGGTAACCACAACACAAGCCTCGTAGCTTACCATGGAACTAGATGGTGCTGTGTGTTAATGTACCAACATATATTTATTACTTTTAAAAACAATAATGAATATATCTATATATTAATACGTGAAGCAAAATCTTTCTACCCTTTTTTAAGAAAATTGCGCGGACTGAGAATTTGTGACACAGTTAAAGTTTATATGGAGATAGAGTGTAGAAAGCTAATATACTATATATATATATATATATATATATATATATATATATATATATATATATATATATATATATTAAACATTTTGTTTGTGAAGCGATCTGTTTATTTTTTGTTTTAGTTTAATAAGCTAGTTATGGTTACACCTCGTCCGTCCGCTCTAGATTAAGATTTACATAGAATAAGAGAGACGCAAACTCAGCGTCTGGTCGGCCCACCCGGCATCCGCCGGCCGAGTATGTATTAGAGTAGACAATAAAGGAGCCTCTAATCGGCTACATGTCTCACATTTAGTTTTATTTTATTTTTTCTTAATTTAATTATAAGTTAGTACAAATACTTTTCGAAACGCTCCGAAATCAAAAGTAGCTTTAGTTTTATAATTAAAAAAAATAGTAATAATCATGGTCGAAGTTCGACCACTCGGCGAACTCTAGTTTAAATAAAACAATATTTATGTATTTAACTGCCTCGGTGGTGTAGTGGCTGGCATGTACGGATGCACACCCGGAGGTCCTGGGTTCGAGTCCCGGGTCGGGCCAAGTTTAGTTACTGAGTCTTTCTGTATAGTAAGCCTCAGTAACAGCCCGAAGTAGGGAAGTTGGTGGTGTTTCGTCCCCGTGCCGAGGCAGAGCACGTAAAACCGTCGGTCCTGCGCCGACACTCTCACCGGTTGTCTCGTGTCGTCCCACCGGAGTATGAGAGCGACAGGGACAGAGAGTGCACGTAGTGTCTGCGCTCTCCCTCACACGCGCTGCACTATAGTATCTCCTGCGCAGTTGGCTAGTCTCAATGAGATTGGCCGCCGTGGCCGGAATCGGTCGGGAGAACATCATCATCAATTATGTATTTAATATTTCAGGAGAAAGATAGTTTGTACAAAGAACAACGCAGTGCTACGGACAAACTGACAATACAAATAAAAAGTATTAAATGTAAAAATATAAGTCTGGAAGCGCGATGTGCGTCTCAAGAAGAAGTCATAGCTAAATTAAAGCAAGAGATTCAAGTCGCCAAAATGGCCGAAAAGGTAATATTGCGTTTAATGTTATGTTTTAAAGTTATTTTTTTTATTTTACTTTTTCATGATTGAATTTTAAAATAATATTTGTTTTATTTTAACTGCTATTGTTTGTTTGCAATTTAAAAAAAGAAATAGATATATAATCTTATTTTTAGTGTTGCCAGTATTATATTTATGGACATAAAGAAAATTAAAAGTATTAATTATTCATGCAATATTATAGTTCTCTATGGATGTTATTAAATTATTAAAGTAAATTTATACATTTTTTTATTTAGCTGGCTATTATTTAATATCAAAATATTAAGCAAATTCAGGAAAAGTCCGAAAAGATACTTTCCTTTAAATGACAAATATTCTCTCTATATATTATAGATCAAAAAAGTACTATATGCACGATCCCATGCAAAAGTTCTCTTAAAACTGTCACCAATTGTGTTTAGGTAATTTGATTAGTTGAAAGTTGTAATGAATTTGAAATATTATAGTTGAAATAGATATACAACAATGTAAATTGAACCTTTAACGCAATGGTTAAAGTTGTTTTCACAAAACAAATTAAATTAGAAGCGCGTTCAAATGTTCAAAAGAGCGCTCATTCGGTGAGGACATTTTTTATCGCTGATTGTGTATGTAGTACTTTTTTGGTGGTTGCCGTAAATCTAAGAAAGTTTTATTTAATATCTTTTGACAAGTCCAATAAATTCAAATTGATAAAAAAAACTATAACTATATAAATATATCTATAAATATAAAAATAATTTTTGTCTGTCTGTTATCTTTTCATTCTCAAACCGCTTAATAGATTTTGATTAGATTTGTCAAGGACTATATACATATATACTAGCGAATCGGGTTCGTCCCTAGTTATGCTTTAACGTTTAGTATAGATTTATCAGAGATGAGATATTTTCCAGCAGTAAAAAGTATCATATATGTTGACCCGGATAACCAGCTATCATCATACAAATCTCATCAAAATCTGTCCAGTGGTTTTCTAGTCAATAGATTCGACGTCTGTATCGATTATAATGACTATTACAATAAGATTTTCCAAAAAATATTTAATGCACAGATTAGACTCAGAATTTTGTTATACATATGTATAGATTACATCTAACAACCCCACTGTCCTTACCGAGTTAGTTTCCAAGCAAAGCCGCAAACAAAACCTAGTTATGACAAGTTTTTAATATATATTTTTTAGGAATTTCGAGATTCAACACGGAATTTGTCTTCGTCGCACATAAACGAAATAAATCGTTTGGAAACAAAAATTAAAATATTAACAACTTGCATAGAGAAGCAAATGTCTCTCATAGACAATTTAAGAAAACAAAACGCCTTGCTTTATACCGATGGGGCTCTAAAGGCTTTGGAAAAAGATTATTGCGATTTTTTAACCCAAGATTTATAAGAAATTATAGGTTAGAAGTTATGGTAAGTACATACATATTATATAGATAGTACAAGCGATTTATACTCGCTTCGCTCGTGTGGGTAAAGGTGCGTTTTTTTTTTGAGCGGAACCCTAATTCTTTTTCTACAATAAAAATAGTCTAAGGATCTCATTGTTACATCAGCCATCTGCCAGTGAAAATCCCGTCAAAATAAGTCAAGCCGTTTCGGAGATTAGCCGGAACAAACAGACAAACAAAAATTTTTAAAGTTGTGTTTTTCTAATATGTACCGTATATTATACTTTCATATATATTTAGTAAAAAACTGTTATTTTGACATTACATACAGACATAGTATAATATAAGCTTTTACTCGCGGTTTTACTCAAAATTTTAAGTTATTAAAGTTTTGTTAGTGTAATTTATATATGTAGTGAAAAATTTATGTTTGTATGTATGTTTTAATGCCGAATCATAAAGAAAATAAAATAAAAAATTTTGTCCAAATAATAAAACTATTTTTTTTGTCTGTGGATCACTCTTATCACATAGGGATATGAAAAGCACTAAAATAAAAAAATAACTGATTGGTAGTTTTCATTTACTATACATACCTAATCAAATATATTCGAAGTCGGTGTGCTTTGGCTAAGTAATTAAAGACTACCTATTAAATACATACCTAATCAAATATTTTCGAAATCGGTGCCAGCCCATACAAAGCAAAGCACACCGACTTCGAAAATATTTGATTAGTTATGTATAGTAAATGAAAACTACCAATCAGTTATTTTTTACTTTTTAGTGCTTTTGTTTGAAGTCGGTTTTTATTTTTTTGTTAAAAAGTTTTTATTTTTCCCTTTTTAGTGTATACAGTAGTAGCAAAGTAAGAATTCTAAAGTGTTAGGCTTGTCAAACCAAACAAAATAAGCCCAAACTCAAAGTATCTACTATTAGTCGTTGAAGAGTTCCATCTATCTACCTTCTGGCCTTACCATCAGATCAGGTCAACAATACCGAACCACTGTACTATCAACGGAAATAGAAACACTTACAAAGTTTGAAGTCAATATGACAATTAGAAGTAGGTTAAATTCATTATTAGCTATTTTTCCACCCTTAGGGGTGGTATTTTTTTTTGAAATTTAAATGGGACCAATCTGGAAGTATACCCTTTCAAACAAAACAAAAATTGTCCAAATCGGTTTATAAATGACGAAGTTCTGAGGTAACAAACATAAAAAAAAATACAGTCGAATTGAGAACCTCCTCCTTTTTGAAGTCGGTTGAAAAATAGTTTACGTCCTATTCTAACACCTACTCAATATACACACAAAATATCATAAGAATCGGTCTAGCCGTTTCGGAGGAGTTTTGTTACAAACACTGTGACACGAGAATTTTATATATGTATTAGATTTTATATATTAGAAGACTAGTGACGTATGTGAAGAGGAGGGATGAAATGTGACGAGACGAGTGATGGAGATGTATGTAGATGTATGGAGAGCTAGAGGGAGACAGAAGAAAACATGGGTAGATTGTGTGAGACAGGAGATGCAAGAGAACGGGATGGATGATGACGTGACGAGTAATAGGGGAGAGTGGAAGGGGAACACTCCAAGTAATTTGGGAAATGGGCAGGGAAGATGATGGTGACCACAGATTTACCCTCATCTAGTTCGAACATCTCATGTGCCTAACAATCTACTTCAACACTAATATTACAAAGAGGAAAGATTTGTATTATTGTATGTTTGTAACGAATGAACTCACTACTGGACCGATTTAGATGAAATTTGGTAAGAAGATAGTTTGAGAGGATAAAGTGTTTTCCCGTGGGAATGAGATAATCATCCGCTGTGAAAAACAGCCTATGTCACTCTCCAGTCCTCCCAACTATCTCCATACAAAAAATCACGTGAATCCCTCTGGAATGACGTGAAAGAAAGACAAACAAACACACTTTCACATTTATAATATTATGTATGTAATAATTAAGTATGAATATTGCTATTAAAGTTTCAAAAATTACAATTTTAATCTGTAATGTATGACACTCGACAAAATAAATCCCAAAGTGCCCAAACCCCACGTTTTAAATAATCGTATCGATTTAGTTAAAATTAATTTAAAATCGATTTCCAAGAATTGATAAGACAATTAAGTAGTTAAAATACAAGAAACTGATATAAGTGTTGTTAAATAACAGGTTTCCATGAAAGAAAAATTGTTTATCAGTCCTTCTAAGCAAAGTGCGAGTGTACCTTAGGAGATAGACATAAAATCGTTGGCTCACTATTACAAGGTTCTATGTTACAATTTTAGTACTTATTTAGTTATGAATGCTACAAGGTTCTATGTGTCATTAGCTATAGTTTTGCAGAAACAAACCACTAGATAGCGGCACTTTAACTACAAAATATTCAATTTTACATAGTTCTATGTTGTTTTTTTCCACGGTAACAAAATAACGAAGTTCTATGTAAAAATTACTAAGCTTCATTAAAATTAACATAGAACCTTGTAATAGTAAGCCAACGAATTATGCTGTTGCAGACTTTTCACATGCCTTTTAAAGACCTACAATTTTTTAGTACATTGTTTTGATGTATCTCTTTAAGGTTTAGCTAGCGTTAGACATGTTAATTTTTAAGAAAGACTCGATAGGACAAGATATTGTGATTTCCCATGGGAATGTAACAATTTCCTGCAATAAAAGGTATCCTAAATTTTGACCCGAGTAATAAGTTATCTCTACACGAAATTTGATTAAAATCCGTTCAGTGCTTTTTGCGTAAAACGAACACAGACATACAGACAAACAGTTTTTTTTCATAACTATTGTTTTGGGATCTATATTCTGCACACAATAGCAGTCATTGTTTTTAGAAAAAAAACTTGTACCGATTTCGCAATGTTACTTCTCTTATTATATGCTAATCTATTACATTAATTTATATCTACTAAGATGAAGATTATTTGTTTTTTTTTTGTTTGTTTATTGGCTATCTAATACGACCTCTACTGAGTATTTCATGTCAGCAACGCCCGAATCGATTTGGTCCGAGCCAGGACTCGAACCCAGGATGGTTCACTGTCTACGACCATCATATTACTATATACGTAAACCGCTGAGCAGGTTTCGATGAAATTTGACGATGAAATAGATTGCATTATAAAGACAGACATATCCATCTTATTTTCGCATCACTCGCCATGCGAGTGAAACAGCGGGCAAAATCTAGTGTTAGAACAATTCTTAGAAGTACTATGTAATACTGTGAATGTTTTACGTTGAGTCACAAACAGTTCACTGGGACAGATAGTGTGGACTTTACCATACGGTGACCATCGTTGGTTTTTTTATCGGACTTTAATTAATAAATCTATACATATAATAAAATTGTAACTAAGCCGAATTTCTACATTAGATACTTTTTGGAAAATCTTATTGAAATAAACATTATTATCGATACAGAGGCCGAATATATGGTTTTTAGAATTTTTGTCTGTCTGTCTGTCTGTTACCGCATCACAGAAATACCACTGGAGGGATTTTGATAAAACTTGGTATGGTGATGGCTGGTTATCCGGGTCAACATTTAAGATACTTTTTACCGCAGAGAAATATCTAATTTTTGAGAAAAAATACAAAAACTGCATAAGAGTATAGTAATATGTAAAACCTAAGAATTTGTTTTTTGGTCATCTGAACGCGGGCGGAGCCGCGGCCAATGCTAGTATATTATAAAAATAAAAAAACTCGATTGCATAAAAGCTAAATAAAAAGATGAAAACAAACTGACGAAAAAATATAGTATTATGCAATCGGAGACATACACAAACAAACTCACATATATATATACATATATATATTTGTTTGAACGCGCTAATCTCAGGAACTGATAATCCGATTTGAAAAATTATTTTTGCATTAGATAGCGCGTTCATCGAAAAAGGCTATACGTTAGGTATATATCATATAATATATAGTTTATCTATCCCATAATAACCTTTAAAACGTACCACCTATGGTTCGTACCAAGCGAAGCAAGGGTGAGCAGCTAGTTGTGTTATATAACAGAACCCACACTATACAAATCCGACTCGCACTTAACCGATTTCATTTGAATAATTAAAAAAAAAGACTGTCCTTACATCAAACAAATATATATACATTAGATTATGACCTCAGATATCTGTTGGCCTTTATAGTTAACACATCGCTTAGTCACTTCGATACGCTCGATCAGATCTTAAGTTAATTTTGTGTTATACATAATGCTTAAATATATTTTTTTAACATTTTTAACAATATTTTTGTCGTCTGTTTATGGAGAGCATTTGGTTGTTGGTAATATTGCTAATAGAGTGATACTCGCACATCAAGAACATGTCCAATATAACGCGATACCGTTTATGAAAAGAGTAAAATATTATTTTTACTCATCGCCAGATAATAAAGTTATACAGGTGAGCTTTTTTTGTTTTTTTTTTATGTGAGTTTGATAGAAAAACTTAAAAATTAAACTTCCGGGACTCGAATCCAGGATATCCGGAACTGTCGTACGCACTTGCCACTATGACGTCTCAGTGCGTATTTGTTTAAAACATACTTGTTGTATATTACACTAAACAGGTTTTTCCTTTATTTTATAAACGGAGCTCAATTTCTAAGAGTTATATCTATCTAATATTTTTAATCGAGCAATTCTTGTATATTTATTTATTTATATATACCGATTGATCTCGGAAACGGCTCTAACGATCTCGCTAAAGTTTTGGTTTGTAGCGGTTTTTGGGTCCGAAAAATCGATCTAGATTAGTCTTATGTCTGGGAAAACGCGTGTTTTCGAGTTTTCATGCGATTTTCTTTCGCATTATTCCACGCCAAATCGTGGTCAAGCGGCCATGGGGCAAGATTGACAATCACAAATGTCCGGGTTCGAATCCCGATTGGATACAAAGTTTTTACTTTTGTTTTTTTTTTGTATTTCTTTAAGTTTTTAGTTTTTTCTCTCATCTAAATCTTGTGTTATGGATACCAGATAGTTGATACTCTACACATATATAACTTTAAATTCATACATATTATAAATATAAACACCCAACACTGGAATACATACATACGTGCTCATTACTCAAATTAATGCCCCCAGCGGGGCTCGAACCCGCGACCGCTGGCACAGCAAGTAGGATCACTACAAACTGAGCCAAACGTGTCGTCAAACTTGACAAAATTTTTTCATCCTTTCGTTCACAAATTATGCAATTTAGAATGATCTATATCTATTTTTCAGGGTATCCAAGCGCTAGATACGATGCACAGTAAAGCGTCAGTGAACATCACGGCTGGAGGTGTCGGCAAAACTTTTGTTAATTTCAGATTCAAGAGCGAACGCGGCACAGGGCTAGATTACGACGTCGGAATTTATGTTTATCCCGATTTCTTATAATTGGAATATATTTTTTTTAATATATGTATATAATATAATATATTTGTGTATATTATTTACCACTCAATGTTGCCTTTTAATTTTTAATGTCTACAAGATTTGCTTTAAAATAGATAATTTTAGTCTGACAGTAAGTTTTTAGTATAAGATCCGAAGTTGAGACATACGTCCATTCGCTTGCCGGATTGAAAGTATTTTGTATTGTCTAAAACACTCATATAAATGCTTTAAGGTTTAGTATAGATTTCTCAGAGATGAGATATTTTCCCGCAGTAAAAAGTATCCTATATGTTGACCCGGATAACCAGCAAGCGCGTTACCAATATGCTACACTGCTTTGCAGAGTGGCAGCGTGTGACTTCTGATTGTTTATAACTAGCAATTTTGCTCAAAACTATATTTTAACGCCATCATTTGGTAACAGCAATATAATATTATCTATACATAATTATGTATACTAGTATTATAAAGAGGAAAGATTTGTTTCTTTGTTTGTTTGTACCGAATAGGCTCTGAAACTACTGAAACGATTTAGATGAAATCTGGTAAGAAGATAGTTTGAGGGCTTGGAATGGACATAGGATAGTTTTTTCACAGAAATCATCCCTTAAGAGGGTGAAAATGGGGATGAAAATTTGTATGGGGAAGCAACCTAGGGACGAATCCGAGCAAAGTGAGGGTGAGTCGCTAGTGATATCATACAAAGACGTAAATACCAACCAAACACTTATTTGTTTTATCAAAATTCTCCACGATTTTTTTTTAAATTAATATGTTCGTTTTATGTTTCTTCTGTAAAATTTGTCTCTAAGTAGATATGGCAATAAGTTCAGGGACGTTATGGCAATTAGAAAGTAAATAAGATTAATTTGTTCTGTTTACATACTTAGAATTTAATTACTTTTTTTATATTCTCTCGAAAATGGCATGCATACTCTGTGTCAAAGAAAATTTTATGGGACCACCACACGATCTATGTTAATAGAATAGAATTTTAACTAACAAAATCGATCCAGCCGTCTCCAAGTTATCTATGAACATACATAAAAAAATACGAAGAATTTCTTCCTTTTCAAAGTCGATTAAAAAGAAAAAATATATATAAATCATAAAATGATATTTACCAAAACAGCTGCTATGGAAATTTATAGCTTTGAGTTAGTACATTAAAAAAACAAAATTACATTTCTTATAATGAAATACTAAGTTCTATGTAAAAATATATATTTATTCAATACAATATAAAATATAAAAAATACAATTATTTTATTATCCTTATACATAACATATAAATAAAGGTAACTGTAAACGTCAAAACAAAACTTTTGTTTTATCTTTCAGCCATAGATAAAGTATATTTAAATAATATTTTAAGAATAAAACGAAAATAAATCAAAAATCAAGTAGTATATAATATATAGTAAAAAATATTTTTCAAATTATACTTCTTTTGACACTTATGAAAAAAATATGAGAGTAAAATTTTTGCGATGCGCGCGCACACCGACAGCCAAAAAGCGACATTATGAAGTTAGCTGGATTCCTTTTACAAACAGAGAGTTGTAACATACGGGAGGAAATCTTTAGCTATTTTTGTTCTGTTACGCCAAAGAAGTATAACTTACTTTACATAAGTACACACACGTTTTCTTTTCATTATTTATATTTATATATATGTATGTATATAAAAATACATACAACTTATTTTTAAATTAAAGTTACTTCAAGGAATGTTTACAGATTCACAATGAGATTCAAAAAAGTTAAAGCCAAGACTTTGTGAAAAAATCAACAAAAAAAACGATATCACATAAAAAAGGCGGGAAATGTGACATTTAACTTAAATAATAGTTTATAATACAGATATTGTAAAAAAATATCTTTTTTACAGTTAAAAAAAAAACTTTCATTTTTATGTTTTATACACATTTTTGACTTATATACTAATTAATATATGGCAGTATTTTATAATTGAAATATTTTGTCTATTTTAAATTCTTAAAAAATACGTACCATTTTAATGTATATTTTTAAAAATGTCTTATTTTTTTTAATAAATAATTACATTTTTTTGTTATAAATACGATTGATATAGACTCACCATATTATTACTTTTTTTTTGTAAAAAAATATCTAAGTACTATATTGAGCTTGTATTCAAAGTTGGACGGATTCATTACCTACAGAAATATAATTTACAGAACAATTGCCTGGCGATATTAATTAAACTTAAAAAAAAACATACCAAAAACAGGTAACATTAATAATTATGTACTGTATTGTCTTTTAATATATACATATCTTATTCTTTGTTTTTAATTGTTAAAAAAACGACTATCCACCCCAATCTCACAGACCAAAAAAAAATATTTTTTTTTACTATAAACAAAAAAACGTATCTCCCAACAAAAAAAAATCAAGCTAAAACGCTTTAGCCAAAACATGGCATCGAATTTAGTCCGAACAAAATAAAAGAATTATCAATATCAAACGTCCAAATCGGCCAATCGTCTGAAACAAGCGCCTATAAATATGCACAACGTAATCAAAATCGAATCGCTGACCAACCCGAGAACACTGTTACTCGACCAGCTATATCTAACCTTCTTTCTAGACAATCTTTTATCTATGGTCAGTTTTTTCGGCCACGACTCGTAATTGGCGGGAGTTTTTTGACATTGGCTGTCAAACCATTTCCTGGCAAAGTTATTTGACGTTTTCGCCTGTATACAAATGAGGGAGTCTTCTACATTCTTGTCTATGACCATAGTGATGCTCCGTAGATTATAAGAAATATCTTGATTGTAAATTATTGTGTTGTTTTTGTCACGTATGTATATATAGAAGTCTGCGACGTCCTCCGTCGTCGATACGTACCATAGAGCGTAGATCGATGTTTGTGAACTAAAAATAAAATGTATATATTACTAATTTTTCTAGGTGATAACTCAGTGGTAATGCACTCGCTTGGGAATAAGAGATAAGTGGGTTCAAATCCCGAATCTCGCACGTCTGATATGCATGTGCGAATCATTTCCAACATTTATTGAGGAAACCTGCATGTCGAGAGAATTTAGCAAGTTTTCGGAAGACGTAAAGTCTGCCAGCGTGGTGGACTATGTCCTGATCGGTCATTGAAGGGAGGCCCACTCCCAGCAGTGGGAAGCTTAAAAAATGCATATTAATATTTGCCCGCGCTTGATAAGTGGGGAGGTTACATCGTAAGTCATCGAAACCTGTTCAGCGGTTTAGAAGTAATAAGATAACAAACAGAACATATAATATTTTTTCATTGAACTAACAAATAATGTATGTATTTTTTACCAAACTGGACGAATTTAAAAGAAAAGTACGGTGTGGCAATGGAACAACACAAGAGATTACTGTTGACAAAATATCAAATATTCGCGTAAATCTAAGAAAGTATTGTGCCAATTAATATCTAAGGGGCTTAATAAAAAGAATAATACTCACTATTGTATATCTCTGAACAAGACATCGGGCTCAGATGTAAAATCGTATTCAGTGTTGCCATAAACTTTCATCTTCTCCTCCAATTCGATGTTGCCAGCACACAATAATCTATCTTCGTCTAATTTCAAAAAGTTTTCACTTTCCACAGACGGCGGTTCGAAACATGTTATATTATTATATTTCTCATCATATGTCAACACAGACACCGGCAGCTGTTTTAGATAATGCTTCAACGGACGCGTGAAGCAGTCGCATTTTAATTTATTATCTGTGGGAAAAAGTTAGGTCAAATTTATAATAATTTACAATAATTACAATACATTTAAAATTAAACTAAACCAATTTTTTATAATTAAATTAAAATATATTTTAAACCAAATAGACTTTTACAAGCACTTTTGAATTGTCACTTTTTACATTATTAATCCCTCCACGACCGCGGACTCGCCGGCGTGTCAGTTAACAATACATTTCTTAGAATTTTGATTGATTTCTTAGAAATTTACCTGGAGGTGTTAAAATTTAAATTAAATGTCAGTATGTAAGTCCGTGAGATATCTACCACCGACTCTGAAGGCAGTTTGCTGAGAAGAACCCAAGAGAAACTAAACAGCTGCTCTTTTAAAATAATATTTATGTACAATATTGCAATACAATAATTATCTACTTAAAATAAAAAAAAATAAGAAAAGAGCTTTAATATATCCAATAAATTCCGAAAAATCTTAATAAAATAAAAAAAAAATGTGTGCGTGTAATCTTTACGCGCGGTTGAAGTAAAACTTCTTTGGCAAATATCGGAATTAAATTAAAACAAATCAATAATTAAATAAGGCATATTACAATCATATATTTGTAGAATATCATATATACGGAAAGAATATAATATTACATATTTGTCAGACAATAACAACGGTTACCATGGCAATATGGCAATGTATTCTCATTCTCTCGCCGGCCTAACCCTATATATTTACGTGTTTGTCTCTTGCTAGTGTCGCATTTCTGTTTCATCGAGTTTCTAATCACAATTCTAAAGAAGTTTCACTTAAAAAAAAAAACAAAAAATGTACCCACCTTCAAAATAAACGCTCAAACTGTTCTCTCTCACCATCTTAACTAGCTGTGGATAGAAACTGCTTAGAAAGTTGTGCCTCACGTCCAGTACTTGTAATTTCTTACATTTCATAATATCGTCCACTGGCAACACTTGCATTGTATTGTTTTGTAGATATATGTGAGTTATGTTTGTTGGCAGATTAAATTTTGTGTCGGCTGGAAAAAACGTCAAAAAAGTTTGAAAAAAAAAAACAAAAAATATTAAAAAAAATGTGTACAAACTTCCACCCTGTTAAGGGATGATTTCCAGGATAAAAACACCCTATATCTTTTCTAGGGTCTCATAACAAATTTCATCTAAATCGGTTCAGCGGATTAAGAGTGAAAAGGCAACAAACAGACAGACAGGTAGAATTACTTTCGTATTTATAATATCAGTATGGATTACTAATATTATAAATAATATTCTTTAAAGAGGTTTTCTGTGTTTTTTTTTAAATGTTTTAGTCCTTTGAATAAAACTTGATAACTCCATGTCCCATACATTTGTTCCTGTATAAATATAATTACTAAGTACTCACATGTCCTAGAAACTAGATCACTCAGTTGATTATTAGAAAGGTCTAATATTTCTAATGACGTCAAGTTACCGAGAACATCTGAAAATAAATATATATTTTATAGGTCTATAAACAAAATGGAATATACAGTATAAAAAATTTGAGTACTAAATATATATAACATTAACACTCGGCACCATCTAGATCCATGGTAAGCTACGAGGCTTGTGTTATGGATACCAGACAGTTGATACACTACATATATAATTTTATATACATACATATTATAAATATTGTTACACCCACGACTGGAGTACAAACATTCGTGCTCATCACACAAATGAATGCCCCCAGCGGGACTCGAACCCGCGACCACTGGCACAGCGAGTAGGGTCACTACAAACTGAATCAAACGTGTCGTCAAATCAAAAGTATGTATATATATATATATATATATATATATATATATATATATAAAAACTTAAAAAAAAAAACAATAAAAAAAAGATTATACAATCAACGCCGCCTTTATTTTTTTAATAACGGCGCACGATGACACTGTATGATAAATGGATAAAGAACATTTAAACAAACAAATAATATCACCAATATGGCGCCCTAAAGTAAAATAAATCAATATTTCGAGATATTTTAAGATAAAGGTTCTAGTAATTTCGGAGCTTATTCGATACAAACAAACAAACAAACAAAAAAATCCCCTTTATAATATTAAGCACGGATTTAAAAAAACTTCATCTTCACTTGACAACGCTACTATTCCAAGCAAATAAATAGTAATTAAATGCAAATCAACCTCTAACTCCTTACATTTTTCAGCTTTTTTTTAGCAAAAAAAAAAACAAAAAAAAAATAAAACTCACTATTCCTAATATCATTGATATAATTATTGGACAGATTCAACATCTTGAACTTCTTGCCGCCGTACGTGATGTCGTAAGTGACTACCGGTATCTCGTTGTGGCTCAGGTCCACTTCCATCAGTCTGTACGGGATCCAAGGGCTCGCGGGGAACATCTTCTTCGTCAGAAAACCGAATCTGTTGTGGCTTAGATTTACCTAGCGTAGAATATATAGACACAATTGAATAACATCTTTTTTAAAAGGGTGGTTAAAACCCTATTTTTTAATTTCCAAACCTCTTTTTAACCGACTTTTTACGGTTCTCAATTAGACACGTATATTTGACCACGCATAACTTTTTACAGTGTGGTCCGATTTCGATGAAACTTTTTAATTGAATAAGGTATACCTCAAACTTAGTTCCATTTAAATTTAAAAAAGAAATCGATCCCTAAGTATTGAAAATAGGGATGGTTTGATTTCCTACGGAATGTTTAGAATAAAGTCCTCTTACTTCTACTATTAAATCTAAATTAAAAATAAAAACTAAAAAAAACCGACGAAAACATTAAAAAGTAAAAAATTACTGATTCGTAGTTTTCATTTACTATAGATACCTAATCAGATATTTTCGAAGTCGGTGCCAGCCGATACAAATCAAAGAACACCGACTTGACACTTTTTACTTATTTTTTTAAGAAGTTGGTATTTTAAAAATTTATCATAACTTATATTTTGAAATTTGATTTCCCATACAAACTTTCATCCCCATTTTCATCCCTTTAAGGAATGATTTCCGAGATAAAAACCTATCATATCTCCTTTTCAGGGTTTCAAACTATCTTCTTACCAAATTTCATCTAAATCGGTTCAGTAGATCCAGAGATTACCCCCTACGACGTCACAAACTCACAAACTTTACCTCTTTATAATATTAGTACAAAATGAACATATTCACTCACCGATTCTAGCGAGAGGCAGTCATCCAATAGCCCATTCGTCTTGTTATCTATTTTGTCCAAACTATTATATGATAGATCTAGTTTCCTGCAAATAAAACAATTGACTCACGCTTGGCTCAGTTTCTAGTACTTGCTATGCCAACGGTCGCGGGTTCGAGTGCTGCTGTGAGGATTCATTTGTGTGATGACCACAAATGTTAGTACTCATGGCTGTTTATATTTGTAATACGTAAGTATGTGTATATATATATATATATATATATATATATATATATATATATATATATATGAAAAAAAAAAATGAACTCCAGCCATACACATACCTCAACGCAACCAATCCTTTGAAGGCTTCATTCGGTATATGTTCTAGAAGATTCCCTCTTAAAGACAAATCAAGCAACTGTTGCATTCCGTCGAAAGTTCTCTTTCCGAGGCTATTTATTTGGTTGTATGACAAATCCAATTTAAAAGTAGTCGGTAAGTTCCCGAAGGCTGATTTCGATAGAGTTGTTAGATTGTTGTTCTAGATAGGTAAAAAAAATATGTTCAAATAAAACTATCATTTACAACCATTATTCAAAAAACTACTACATGCACAATCCCATGCAAAAGTTCTCTTAAAACTGTCACCGATTGTGTTTAGGTAATTATTCTAGTTGAAATAATGTATATAACAATGTAAATTGAACCTTAAATGCAAAGCTTAAAGTTGTTTTACCAAATAAAATAAAGCGCGCTCAAATGTTCAAATGAGCGCTCATTTGTTGAGGACATTGTGTATCTAGTACTTTTTGATCAATGTTTACTTTACAGAATGGAATGGAACCATGAAATGGAATGACCATGATTGCTGTAAAGTGCAGGATCAACACGAAGGTGTCAGTCAACAGCCGGTTGTCCAACTGGTTTGAAATTCACACAAACATGTACACACACATATAATTAAACACACAACAAACAAACACCCAATATCATCGATCAAAAAATTACTAGATACACAATCAACGACGAAAATAGCTCACCGAATGAGCGCTCATTTGAACAACTGAGCACTCTTCTATTCATTTTTTTGTGAAAACAACTTTAAGCATTACATTCAAGGTTCAATTTAGATTGTTATATACATTATTTCAACTAGAATAATTACCTAAACACAATTGTTGGCAGTTTTAAGAGAACTTTTGCATGGGATTGTGTATCTTGTAGTTTTTTGATCCATACCCAACACCCTCAGGCCCACTCACCTGTAAATACAAATACTGCAGACTGTTCAATGTATTCAAAGCCTCCCAAGGTGGTCTTGTCAACCCGTTGGCGGACAAATCGAGCGATTGTAGGGTAAGCAAACCCGCAAAGGTCTCGGTTTCCAACCGATCGCCCAACTGGTTTGCCGATAAGTTGAGACGGAGTAGTGCATTCATCACTGGCCACGTGTTCGATTTTATCTCGGTCAGATTGTTGTTGGCGACGTTCAGTTCGCTGGAGGAAGAGAATTTTATCTATATCTATACATATTATAGGCAATGGTAGGTAGACCAGTGGTAACGCGCTCGCTTGGGAAACCGACTGAAGCGGGTTCAAATCCCGGGTCTGGCATCTCTGATATTTTCATGTGCGAATCGTTTCCAACATGATCACCACTTGTCTTAACGGTGAAGGAAAACATCGTGAGGAAACCTACATGTCTGAGAGAACCTAGCAAGATTTCAAAAGACATATGAAGTCCGCCAATCCGCACTTGGCCAGCGTGGTGGACTATGTCCTGATCCCCCTCGTATTGAAGTGAGGGACGTTTTAAAAGGGCTGAATACATACATACATATGATAAAATTCTTACTGAGGCGAATCTGTACATTGAATATTTTTTGGGAAAATATTATTGGAATAGTCATTATTATCCACACTAAGATTGAAGCTATACTTTTTTGAATTTTTCTGTCCGTCCGCTGTCTGAGAACGCATCACGAGAAAACTACTGGACAGATTTTGATGAAGTTTGGTATGATGATAGCTGGTTATCCGGGTCAATATATAGGATACTTTTTACCGCGGGAAAATATCTCATTTCTGAGAAATCTATACTGACCGTTAAAACGTAACTAGGGACGAACGTTTTCGTATAATATTGTAAAAATTGAATGTTATTGTTAATATTTTGTGTATGTGTGTATTTGTTTGTGTCCGTGTTTGTTTGTTAATTCTTCAGGCTGATTAGGCATCTAGGGACGCACCTTAAGCTAGTGTTACTAATATATATTTAAATAAATAATCAAATATAAGGCGCTCATATATAACATTTGATAACTAAAGTTTGCTGGTATATATAATACAGATTCTGAGCTATACTACTTGAAAAAGAAACCTTTTTTTTTCAAAGATCAACGTATATGTGTGTGTGGAGACACACCACAAACTAAAACGTATTTGGACGCCTGTATACAGACATGGCATCATATGTGTGTGTGTGTATATACTCACCCTAAACTAATAGGTATCTGAAAGATCCTATCCAGATAATTATAACTGACATCCAGCATCCGACAACTGGCCAGCTTGGCGAGACTGCCTCGCGACACGTCTCGCAACCGGTTGTGAGACAGATCGAGCTCCAGCACAGTGGGGATTGTACCGAATGTGGAGGGTTTGATGATCTCCATCGAATTGTGGCTTAAGTTTAGATATCTGGAAAGATAATAATCCCATTAATATTATAAATGCGAAAGTTTGGATATTTGTTACCAGAAAGGCTTAACGGATTAAGGTGTCTGCCCATGACACTATCTCATACCATGACCGTGCTATGAACGTATCAGGCACAGAAACGAGCATGGCACGGACTATTATGCCCAGTAGAACTGAATATGAATATTGCGCCGCCTGCGCGCACCGGTCCCGCAGGGCATTCATAAATACCTTATCTATACAGATAAATAAAATTGAAGTGTCTGTTTGTAATGTCCGAATAACAGTTTTTTACTAAATACATATTAAAGTACATACGGTACTTACAAAAAAAAATAACATTTTTATCTGCCTGCCTGTTTGTTCTGGCTAATCTCCAAAACTGCTGGACTAATTTTGACGGGACTCTCACTGGCAGATAGCTGATGTTATAAGGAGTAACTTAAGCTACTTTATAAGAAAAAATGAAACCCACGAAATTATAAAAAAAAACAATTGTTAATAATAAAAAAAGTTAACAAAACTAAATTACCTCAACGAGAACAGATTCTGGAACACTGCATTGGAGATTTCAGTCAAGTTATTGTGGGAAACGTCGACAGTGTGCAGCTCGTAAAGTTTCGGGAAGGATGATTTTGGTATGGTTGTTATATAATTATAGGACGCGTTCAGGACACGTATACCCGTCATGTTGTAGATTGGTATCTGTTATTAAAAAAAAAATCTATACATATAATAAAATTCTGAGTCGAATCTGTACATTAAATATTGTTTGGGATAATGTTATCGAATAAATCATTACTATCGATACTGAGGCCGAATCTATAGTTTGGAATTTTTGTCTGTCTGTCTGGGAACGTATAATGAGAAAATAACTGAACAGATTTTGATGAAATTTGGAACAATGATAACTTTTCACTGCGGGAAAATATCTCATTTCTAAAATATCTATACTGACCGTTAAAACGTAACTATAGGGACGAATTTATTTACCACAACCATTAAAAATAAGTAAAAAAAACTCACCTGACTCAAATCCGTGAACTCATTATAACTCACTCTAAACTCAGATGCATAAGTGTTTTCATCGAAGGCCTTCACATCTATATGAGTTAGTTTGTTATGACTCAGATCTAATACAGTCATGTTGTTGCAATTCTGGAAGGCACCAGGTTCGATATTTTCTAGTGCATTGTGGGATATATTCACTACGGCCAAATATAAGTCTGTGAAGGCTTGTTTCTCCACTATTGTTATCTCGTTCTCTGCCAAATTTATTAGCTGGAAAAATATATATTTATTGTATTATAATTTATAATCTGTGAAAATAAATATTAATAAAAATTGAAAATATTTAATATGTGTGTATTTTTGTAATGTTTAAATGTGGTTTTCGTTCAAAATGAGACATTTTTAGAACATTTTCCACGTTTTTTATATAGAGCGTATATAAAAAGCACTTGTTTTTTTATTTTATTTTAATGATCTTATGTTACTACACAATATATGTATTTAAATACACCTCTGAAGGAATGATTTCCGTGATAAAAACTATCCTATGCTTCCCAGGCTCTCAAACTATCTTCTAACCAAACTTCATCTAAATCGATCAAGCAGTTTCGGAGATTATTCGGCACAAACAAACACACAAACAAAAAACCTTTCCTCTTTATATTATTAGTATAGATTATTATTAAAACACTCACCTCAGAATATTTCACCTGTTGGAACATTTGATAGTGGACCTTCTTTATTTTGTTCCTGGCGAGGTCGATGGTGCCGATGCGTGTCGCCGCCGAGAATGTACCCACACCTATGTCCGATATCTGGTTGTCTTGGAGGAAGAGACGTCTAGAAATCGATAGTTTTATTAATAGTATATTGCGTGCGAAAGAAAACCGCATGAAAACTCGAAAACACGTGTTTTCCCAGACATGTGTAAGACTGAACTTGATCAATTTTTCGCCACTAAAAACCTCTACATACCAAATTTCAGCGAAATCGTTTGAGCCGTTTCCGAGATTGCCGGTATAAATTAACAAGAATTGCTCGTTTCAAGATATTAGATAATGTCTTCCATACAGATTTCGGTCACAGTGGACAATCTCACTGAGACCAGCCAGCGCAGGAGATATTGCATGGTACAGTGCAGACACAACGTGCACTCTCTGTCCCTGTCACTCTCATACTGCGGCGGGACGACATGAGACAACCGGTGAGAGTTAAGGCGTAGGCATGGTGGTAAAACACCGCGAATTTCCCAACTCGGGGGTATTACTGTGACTTTTGAACAGAAAGACTCAATAAATAAACTTGGCCCGACCCGGGACTCGAACCCAGGCCTCCCGGATTTGCAGATTGAACTATCTATTTGTAATGATAAAATAACTTTATACTTAATGCATATGAAAATACATACGGTACTTATAAGACCAAAGCGTTTTATTTTGTCTGTCTGTTTGTTCCGGCTAATCTTCGAAACGGCGGGACCGATTTTGATGGGACTTTCACTGGCAGATAGCTGATGTTATAAGGAGTAACTTAGGCTACTTTTGTTTTAGAAAAACAATTAGGGTTCCGCTCCAAAAAATCAACACACAAACTTATGAAATTGTGAACAGAAAACTAAAAAATTATAACGTACCTCAGAAATCTCATTCCTTTGAAGCTATTCGTGTCCAATTTTTTTATTTGATTGTTATCCAAATGAACCACTTTGATCAGATTGTTTCTTGCAAACATTCCTCTGGAAAAAAATAAGCAAATTGTAATATGGAATATGCGTGTGATTTAAACAAAGGTAAAATATGTATGTATATTTTCTTTATAATCTTTATTGCTCTTAAATTAAACGTATATCAATATTTTTAATGTAATTTCTGTTTGATTAGGAAATAATTATTAAAAGTGCTAATATATGTAGGTGGTAAATTCAAAGTAATTGAAACGTATGCCATTGGTCAGACTGAATATGACGTCAAAGTATATCAAAACAGAGCGATTATCGATTTTATCGCTACAAACTGAGTCGTCATGTCTCTGTGTATATCATACTGTGACGTCACGCCGAGCGCGCGAAATGGCGGGCGTTTAAAGTATCCGTAACGGTATGATATATTTTTTTATACTAAATTTTAGTTTTTTGGAGTTGGGTATTTTTTTACAATTATATAACGATTTAAGCTATTGTACAAATTAAAAAAAAATCCCTAAAAATACTATAATATATAATAAAAATACTGTTATAATAATAATATGCAATATGCGAAAGTTCGTATGTATGTATGTTTGTTTGTTACTCCTTCACGCTGTAACGGCTGGACTGTTTTCGATGAAATTTATCACACCAGATAAAACAAACAATACCTGGAGTAATAGATAGGCTAATTTTAGTATTAATTTTTTCTAAATGTTGGCGCTACCTGTACATACCATAAATATTATAAATGCGAAAGTTTGAATGGATGGATGTGATAGAACGGTTGAACGGGCTTGGATGAAATTTGGCACAGCGATAGATTATAGTCTGGAATAGCACTACAAATAAAGATTATTATTATTATCCCGAAAAAAAGTACGGTTCCCGTGGCATAGACTTGTTTTTGATTTTCAAATGCTCTCATGCATGCAATGATATAAATTTGCTAAAATATAATGATATTTGTAAATTGAGTATTTACTTGAATAGTAATAAGTAAAAACTCACCTCGGCATCTCTGGTAGCTGGTTATGGCTGACATTACACCAGCCGAGTTTCGTCATTTCGCCAATATGGCTGCCGTCCAGTTTAGTTATGTTGTTGTAACTGTATATATTGATAAAAATTAATATTTAGACTTTGAAACTTTCTTTAGATTTACGAGATTTTTATATTAGGTACATGATATATTATATTATAGGGTTTTAGAGGTCTCATGGTCATAATGATCTCACCTCTGTCTCTCCCGTGACCATGTGCGCAGTAAAGCACCTAAATAAAAGCGAGTAAATAAATAAAAATAAATCCGCGGAAATAGCTGAAAAGATAGTTTGAATAAACTATCAAAGTGGTAAACTATTAAAGTTGTAAAATATTCATAAAATGTAAACAGCGACACTTCCATCTATAAATGTAATTTGTATTTACTTAGGTTTTATTTTTAACCAGGTATCTATTCGATATATTTTTTTTTCTTATATAAGATCACCACTAAACTTATTTCTCTTGGGGTTTTACCCAACTTCGAAAAAGAGAAGTTACTCGAATTCTTTTTTTAAATATATAAACAAATGTTCAAATAATAAAACTCATACAGTTACCTCACATCTAAAACTTCTGTGTCCCGTAATCCCTTGAACTGATTTCTTTTTAAATTTGCCAATCTATTGCCGTGGAGGTCTAACGTTTTTAATTTTTTGAGATTCTGAAAAAAAATTTAAACACATAAAAAAAATTAAAAAAACAATTGCTAGAATCAAAGGTTATAAACTAAAAAAATAACATCATCAATAAAAAAACCGGATCCCATCGATAGATGGCGTTATATATATAAACTATTATTATAAAGAGGTAAAGTATGTAAGTATGTATGCTTCTAAAAATTCCTTCACTCATAGGAAACTATATTACCGACGAATTCTATATACTTTTTATTTTGATAAAAATGTTATTGCTGTAAAAAATTATATGTTTCATAGAAGTCGGAAAAAATGGCCGCTAATTTACACTAATATTATAAAGAGGTAAAATTTTTTTGTGTTTGTACCGAATAAGCTCCGAAACTACTGGACCGATTTGAATGAATTTTGATAAGAAGATATTTTGAGATCCTGGCATATGATAGTTTTTATCACGCAAATCATCCCTTAAGGGGGTGAAAATGGGGATGAAAGTTTGTATGGGGAAGCAACGTAGGAAAGTGATAATATTAAAATTATATATTGAAATATAAAATTCAAACCTGAAAAGCCTCCACAGGTATATCATTTAACAACCCATTGACTAGATGTAGCTTCTCCAAGGTCCTCACAGCTAGACTGCTGGCGAATATGTCTTTACTGAGAGACGCCATCGCGTGCCCGTCTATTGATAGTACCGTCAGGTTACCTAGTATCTGTGACGAATGGACAGACATATTATAGTTTTTTTTTTGTATATATACAGGTTGGTCCAAGAGGTGACGTCATAAATTTTTTTTAGATTCCCACATCTAGGTGTATCCAAAAATAAACCTTGTATGTTCCGCGATTTTTCGTAGTTTAGAAGTTATGATTTTTTTAATATGTATTTAAGCTATTTTTTTTATTTTTTTTATTATTTTTTCCTCTCTTTTTTTATTTTTTTTTTTCGTATTCTTCTCAGCCAACCCTTTCATTTGATATCCCCATCATGGAGTACATAAAAATATTATAGTCAGCCATCTTTGTGAGTCACCAAGCCCTTTAATTTAATGCTAATATCATAGGGGCAACTATGGAAATAATAAATCGCCATTTTGTAACTTCCGCTATATTTGATTGAAAATCGCAGCATTCACACAATCGTGGATTGTCAAGAGAAATTCAAATACCAATTTTCAGCTCAATCGGACAGCGGAAAGTGGGTCAAATTTAACTTGCAAGATTTGATTACAAACTGACACCGGGACAGATGAAACTGAATACAATCTTGTAATAACTTATATAGAAATACCGGACAAAATATCTTGAATATAGACATCACACTATACTGAAAGGGAGATTTTACGACCAACTTCACTCAAATTATTTTTAACATAACGCGCCAAAAGAAGTTTAACTTCAAAAATATTATAAGAAATTAACAGAATTAAAATATTTTTACAAACTTACTTTAATAGCGTCCTTGGGAAATTGGCTAAATTTCGTATTGACCATGTAGATTTCCTGTAAGGTCCTATTCACACCCGCGAACGCGTATTCGTCAATGGATTTAATCGGCGTGTCGATAATGTGTAAAATCCTTACTGCTGATCGATGGAGGAGTGGGCCGAAGAGATGGGCTGCAAATAAACAATAAAAGTTAGTTACAATAAATAAAATTTTAGGAAATTTAAAAAAATCTTTTTCATTGAAATATTTTTAATTTTTAATATTTTTGAAGTCTATTAAAAAAAAACAATATTTTTTTTATTCAATTTAACGATCGTAAATGAAGTACTTGGCCGAAAATATTGAATTAAAAAAAATCTGAAAGCCTAGCTCCGCTCGAGTTCGTCCCTAATTACATTTTAATGTTTAATATAGATTCCTCCAAGATGAGATATTTTCCCGCAATAAAAAGTGACCTATATGTTGAATTGGATAACCAGCTATCTTCATATCCATCAAAATCTGTCAAGTAGTTTTGTCGTGATGCGTTCCCAGACAGACAGACAGACAAGAATTCTAAAAAACTATAGATTTTCCAAAAAAAAAATCGAATGTACAGATTCGTCTCAGAATTTTATTATATGTATAGATAAAGAATAATAAGTACTTACTAAATTTTGCTTCTCGAATTTCCAGCTGCTCTATAGGCAAGCCCATACCAGCTATATTCCCCAGACCGACGCTCATTACAGCGAGACCGGCGTTTTCACATTTCACATACAACCCTTCGTCCGTACCCTTCTGACACACGCAAGGGTGCAAAAGTAAGGTATCCTTAGGGCAAGGGTACACTGGTCCCGGGGGGATATACTCTGTGTTTAATTGGGGCAGTATTGCCAATAGAGAGAAAAAAATTGCAAAAGTTGCCATTTTGTGATCTGAAATTAAAAGAACATATTAGTCAAAACGTACAAAGTTGATAAATTCTTATATTTACGCGAATATTTGACATTTTAAAGAAAACTATCTTTCGAAACGTTCGCTTAAGGATTTCTGGTTCCCGACGTTTCGAATGTTTTACAGCGACAACGGTCACGGGAGAGAAAGTGGTCAGGGGAGTCTGTTATTTACACTAATATAAAATGGACCCAGTTATGCAAAAAACAGCCATGTGCGTAAAAGTACCAACAGAGTTATAAGCATTTTATTATAAAAAATAAAATAATTATAAAAATTAAACAATACATATATAAATATTGTTCAATTTTAAAATAACCAAAAAAACAAAACAGACCCCAAGTGCAACTATCGACAGAAAAATGCTTATAACTCTGTTGGTACTTTTACGCACATGGCTGTTTTTTGCATAACTGGATCCAAATATTACAAAGAGGTAAAGTGTGTAAGTTTGTATGTTGGGGGTAATCTCTGAAACTACTGTTGATTCTGAAAATTCTTTCACTAACAGGAAGCTTTTATCCAACAAAAATGTATTTAGTATCAGGAATCATAATAAAAATTTTAAGTCGGGGAAAAATAAACGTTGATTTACTTTATCAGCTATTATATCGCACTCGAGCAAAATTTATTGTGTAATCAAAATTTATTTTAAAATATATCCGAAAATAACATTAAAAATTTAAGTAATATTAAAAAAAATGTTTTAAAAGACAACAAAATTAAAAGTGCATAATAATTACAAGACTTCCGCGACACCATTCAGACAAAGAGAGACAATAGCATTCCCAAGGAGGGTTGTCGTCAGGCAGGCGTGAGGCGGCCGGTCGTAAAACTTTGCCAAATCCTATCAGCAGTACAGAAGATGTACTGCGCCGACCCCAAGTGATTGGGAAATGGGCAGGGAGAAGAAGAATATCCCACTCGAGCTATATAAGGAAACTCGCAAGTGTGCTGTATAAATATACTTTTTAAATAGCATTACATATAGACGTAACGCTTATTAATATTATAACTGGTTCCTTTATAAGTAGCTTATCGAGTGACATAACTTTTACAACAACTAATTCGAAACCTTTTCTTTTATATATGAAAGTTATTTCCGATATTAGCCGACTTCAAAAACGTGGTGCTTAATCCGGTTGTGTTTTTTGGTGTACGTATGTTACACAATATCATCCAAACGTTTCGGAGATTAACCAGAACAAACAGACAGACAAAAATTTTAGAAATAGATTTTTATTCTTATTAGTCCATAGTAGTAATAAATATTCATATGCATATAGTAAAAAGCTTTTATGTTCGACATTACAAACAGACAATACAAATTTATTTATATGTATAGATAAAATATTGTAAGTATCATTAAAACGTGATTAATGAATTCCCAAGGTATTAAAGCATATAAATAAAACTTTGGGTAAAATCATGTGACGATTTGAGGTATTTTCCAATAATTAAAACCAACTAGAATATAGGTTTTTCCTACACAGACCTACTTGTATTATAAATTATGCCGACTATTCTAATGTGCATGTGAAAGTGTAATTCAATACAGTTAATTTTGACTTTTGAATTTGTACGCATGCTTAATTTTTTTTTTTGAATTGCTATCCCATTTGCAAAATTGGTAAAATGTTGAAGAAGATAGATAAACAGATATTGTTATCATACGTTTTTGTTAGGTTTATAAGATAGTTGGTCCACAATCAAATGGAGGACCAGATTAATAGAAATAACCTCTTGGCAAATCTTAGTCACAGCGGCCTATCTCACTGAGACAGACCTGATGTACAGAAGATATGAGAAGTGCACAAGTGTAAGATACAACGTGCACTCTCTAATACCTTTTACTCCCAAAGTCCGATGAGACTTCGACCCGACAGTAGAGAGCTAAGGGGGCACCGAGGCAATTACGAAATAATTACGTTCGTTTGATCCCTTGCTGTATTGTAATTAATAAAACTTTAATTATACAATTAATATGTAGGATATTTAAGAATTTATCCTATAAATCGTACACTTTAGAAACACGATTACTTGTAGTTTCCTCGATAAAAAAAAATCCAAAATGATCTCTAAAAAACAAAACAAACTCGTAGTGCGGCGTAAATAATTCAAGGAAGTTCATCAGGTTTTTAATAAATAACAAAACTATACGTTTTCTATAACGTATACTTTTTAGGAGTGTCGGTGTTTCGTTGCCGCTCTCCCTGTCCTCTGCAGCCGATTGGAGGTGGCCCACTTCGGTGGGCGGAGGTTCGATTTAATGGAGCTGCTCCGGGTACCTCTCTGGTGTAGCAGAGTTGACTGTGGAGCAGCCCCATCGGTGTGGTGGTTAGCCGTTGGCAGACCTGCCGCCGGGGCGCCGTAGTAGTTATGCGCAAGCGATCCTGCGGCGTCCCATTATGGCGGAGGGGAGGGGAATGTCGGGTTTTAGTGGATAGTACCGGCTCTTCGAGCCGATGAGCCCCACATAACCACCTGGGGGATCAGGTGGTATGCGTAAATGCATTTCCCGACATAAAAAAAAAAAAAGGACTCGAACCCAGGACTTCCGGATCTGCTACTGTACATGCTAGCCACTAGACTACCGAGGCTGTTTTATAATAATGAAATCCTGACCGATTTTAACCCACACACAACACAAGTGCACCCTTTCTTTCTTTTACTCTCAAACTTTGACAATTCAACAGAATCAATAAGAGATTAGGCACAATTCAAACACATTTATACTTATAAATTCAGATTGTGCGTTTTGATATAGAACCCATAATACAAAGGTCTTGATCAAAAATTTAAAAGTATTAAAAGAATGTGTGTGTGTGTGTGTATATTTGTGTGTGCTTACACTCTACTAATAATATTTTTACTTGTTTGACTTCCCAAGTCCCAGACATTACGAACTTAAAATTAAATAACAACTGAACGAAGTGTCATAGATACTTGGTGTTATTATGAAGGATAATTAAGCCCCGCTAAACGGGCACAATTTTTGAATGTGATTTTTAAATTTTTGGCCTCAAACTGTAATTGCACAAAACCTGAATGGTCACCTTAATTATTTTTATCTACTTGTAGTTGTAAACATTTAAAGTTATATGTTTTGACAACTTAGTTATATAAAGGACTTGAAATGATGCAAGAGTGAAGCAATATTTTTTGCTAAATGAACAAATCTGTATTTTTATGTACACATAAATATAATATAATAGTAATGGGATCAAAGTTGATCAATTTTTTGATAAATTAATATTTAACAACTGCGACTTAGACTCGCTTCGCTCATGTGCGTCCCTAGGTTCAATTTTGTTACTTGTCCTTTTTTGCATGGAAACCTAATTATTTTCTAAAATATAAAAATAGCCTAAGTTACTCCTTATAACATCAGCTATCTGCCAGTGAAGTTCTCGTCAAAATCAGTCCAGCCGTTTTGGAGATTAGCCAGAACAAAAAGAGAGACAGACAGCCAAAAACATTAAAAATGGTTTTATTGCTTACATATGCATTAAGTAAACAGTTGTAATTTTGCCATTACAAACAGACACTTCAATTTTATTTATCTGTATAAATTAGAGGCCATGCACTGCTTACAGATTTTTGTTTATTAACTATACATTCCTACACAATAAATGATCTAAACAGATGAAAATTCTAGAAATGCATTAATTTAATATTGTATACATTTTTGCCTGTCTTTTACTCTTACAAATAAATGACTAAAGAAAATTTAACTTCCTTATGTCCCAGGAAAAGTGAAGGGCTGCTGTGAGCTAAAGAATATGAGTTCTATATGATTTTTGGGATGACATGTGGTGGGTATCAAAGGCAGATACATAGGTTGTCCGGACTACTGTTATAAATATATATGTTTGTTTGTGTATGTTTGTTACTCCTTTACACCATAATGACAGAATGGATTTGATTGAAATTGATATTGTGCAAAATTTAGTATAGATAGACCATGACTTTGAGTAACACATAGGCTACTACGAAATGAAGGTAAGTTCAATTCCAATATACCAAAACTAACATTTGTCTCCAATCTAAAAAGACTTAGCTCAAAAATATATAACGTTGCATTTAGTTTACTAAGACATTTACACAAGTATAAGTGTTGATATCGATCATTCTCTCCTTATTTATAACCTTCTGAGACTAAAAGTGTGAAATACACACATATTTACATGGAAAATAGAACAAAAAATTCAAGTATTTAATTTTTATAATGTACCTCTTACCAGGTGTATTGAATAAAATATAAAATAAAATGAAAAAATATATTATTTAGCGTTTTTTATTAAACAATCACTTTGTTACTATTGTATAGTAATTTTATATTAAATTTTGTTTTTAAAAAAGTTCCAAAAAAATTTAAACATATAAGTAAATTATTAATTAGAATTCTTGAACATAATATTTAGTATCTAAATTACTGGTTATTGATTAAATGGATCTACGACATATTTCGATCAAGGCTAATAACACCAAGGAAGTATAAAAAATAACTTTAAAACAAGTCACAAGGCCAAAGAAACTAGTTTTGCTGTACAACAAAAGGGCAGTAATGACCTATGGCTGTAATTTCTAATTACGTGCTAATTCTCCAGTACAGATATTTTATTAATAAATTAATTGCGATGTTGATTTATTAAACTAAGTTGAAATTCGTAACAAAGTTTTGATACTTTCACTTTATATAAAATATAAATTTAATACGTCACCTGCTTGTTTTTTTATTATAAACAGAAACTCAACTAATATTCTACTAATTATATTATTTTGAGCTATTGTAACATAATAATTGCGAATTAAAAACGCAATTATTTTAGAGAAACAAAATCACAACCCACTCCATAGCAGGGAACACGGAACTGTCATTTATTTAGAAATCGCATTACGCATAAATCTATGTCGATTAATCGATAAGTGGTTGAATAGAAAATCGATTTAAATAATATGTTATGTGAAATATGAAATAGATATTAATATTGAAACGAAAAAAGCTTGTATAAAATATACAAGTTTAAATTAAACTTGAAAAAAATATATAGATAGTTTGGAGTTACCAGTTCAGTGCTGATTTGTAATAAATTACGGCTATAGTTAATCACAGGACTAAATTCGACTCATAAAGCCACTCGATTATAATGTTAGAAGAAAGTAGGTGATAAAGTAAGTCAAACACCTGTTTCTGTTAAGCTTAAGACTTAAGCAAATAATATTTACTACGACTCCGGCTGCACCCACCATGTGGTGGGTGTAATATAACCATTCAATTCTGTTTTTTTGTTAATGCACATTTCAATATCAAAATAAAGGCACATTTCAATATCAAAATTTATAATGACAGTTGTTTTAGTGATGAGTTATATTTTTGGGAGTCAAATGAAAAAAGTCAGCCTGATTAACTCGTAGAATTCATAAAAAATGCATTGCAATTAGAATTAATTAAATATTTTATATATATAAATTTATTCCAACTTAAAAAAAAGTATAATGATGTTTATTATTTTAAATGTCATAATTCGACTATCTATCGATATTATTTATATTAAGATATCCCTGATAATCATGGATGACAAATAGCTGATAATATAAAAAATGTTGCCAACACTAAAAATGTTAAGTGAGGTTGTTGCATAGAGTAACATATACTCTAAGGATTGTTGTTTTTATATTTTTCATAGTGGAAGTTTGAAAAGCCTAAAAGTTAGTAATTAGTATACTGCAGCAAAGCATTACAATCTAAACGTAAAAAGTACTTGAATTTTATTAAAGTTCAACCTATTTACTTTTAAATAAAAAAGTCAATTTTACGTAAAGATGCCTTAGGTACACCGTACAAAAAGTCAAGGAGAGATACTAATTAGATAGATACATTGCAGTGACCTCATTAATCTTTGGCTCACGCGTCAGTTTGGAGGAATGGTACCGATAACCTTTTTCGAGAATCTAGGTAAGACTTTTTTACACGATTGCAAGGAAAGGGTTATACTGTTCGCGCCTATTTTTGTATGTTCGTTTGTAATATTCTTTATTCCCTTATATCTTCTGAACCACTCGATGGATTTCTGTAATTAAAGTATCGTTAGATTTGTCTCATTAGTCCAAGTGTTCTTAGATAGGTGGCATAAAAAAAATGTGGGGGCTGCTAGATTTCATTGTTTAAGGTGATTTTTTTTTAATCTCCCTTTTCTGCAATGGGGATCAAATTAAAGGGCTAATAACAAGGATTCCAAAAAGGTAAACATCGATGTATTATTTATTTCAAATAACAGTTTTTATATAATGATCTAAAATTGGTTAACAACCATTCTCACTAATTTTCCGACTTAAAAATACTTAAAAAGCTGTAAGTAAATAAATATATTATAAAATTAAAAAAAAACACGAGTGCATAAAAGCTTACTAAAAAGATAAAAACAAGTTCACGAAGGAATATAGTACATATTATGCAGTCGGAGACATACATAAGACATACATTAAACGGTTCAAGAATACTGTTATATACCTTTGCCTTTTGAATTGAAAGAAAAATATATGTCAATTATTTTATACACATTTTTACAAGCACGATTTTTAGTAACCTCTCTATCTTTATTGCAACTTTATGTGACAAAAGAAAAGGCTTTCTAAGAAAAAAAATAGCTTCATTAGTGACAAATTGATGGTAATATTATTCACATTATGTATTGTGTTGGATAATAAATAATACAAAGATAAAATGGCGCCTAAGAAAAAGAAGGAGCCACCGATTCGTTGCGACGAAATCCAAGGCGAACGTTTCAGTGCGCCCACAGAAGACGTGTTTTCTCATAATTGGTGGGAAGTTTTTTGCTTTCCTTATATACTATGTGGTCGAATATGGGATTGTTTCGTCTCACTATGCTCAGGCACAAATCAATGCCTCGTATACTGGATGATGATTCAATGGATAGTTTGTAAAATCACTAAGCTGACTACACCTGATGCTATTGTATTTCCATATTACTTTTATATGTTCTGCCAAGTTATATTATTGACAGCGTTTTTTGTGATGCTGTGGATATTTTTTGGGAAGAGTGTCGTAATACCGTATTTTGAGGCATTCTACGCAGCTATAATTGGTGCAAATGATTCACCATCGGCAAACACAACAAGATTGTCATTTAGGAGGTATTGTTTTAGAAAAAGTGAAATTTTTGACACAAGTTTAGATGGTTCTGCTGGTGTACAACAGACTTCGGGATTTACTTTTGTTTATACGGTTTTAATTGATTTTATAATACACGAATTGTTCGTATATTTCGAAGGTTTATTTTATTTTGTCTTTATTGGTTCAAGCAATTGCTCTATTTTTGTGAAAGGCGCAGATTAAAATAAGTATAGTATTACAAATGTGAAGATGGGTTAATTATTGATTAAGTATTAGATTTGTAAGCTGATTCGACAAACTCGACGATTTTTAAGTTCATATAGAAATCCTAAAATCAATATTAGTTTTTCCCCAAATTTGCCAAGTTCCCCACATTGGCAAAATTGCCTTTATCAAAACTATATCGAGCGTTTTTAAAAAATAGTATAATCGGTCCAAATGTTTTCAAGTGATATATTATTTAAATAGATTCATAAATCCACTTTTTGTTGGATAGGTTTTAAGAATTTAGATAGATGTATGTATATGACGTTTTTGTTCGAGCCAATATTTAAGTCAAAAAAATATATAATTTAAATGATAATTTCAACATTTTTGAAGTTATACTTTTTTTGAGACGTTTGAAAAAAATATGAGAGTAAATATTTACAATGCGCGCGCACATTGACAGCCAAAAAGTGACATGATGAAGTTAGCTGATAACTGTTAGTTGCTTTATGGTAACCGTTTTATAATTGTCTGACAAATAATTAGATTATAGTCATATTCGCTGTGTCGGAAAACCATGTTTAGATGGAAACTTTAATTAGCAGTAGTATTGTTGATGGAAGGATGGGAAAGATTCATATACTTATTATTTTTATTAATTTTATTAATTTATTATTCCTTTTACAAACAGAGAGTTGTGACATACGGGATGAAATCTTTAGCTATTTTTGTTCTGTTACGCCAAACAAGTACTTAAACTTCATACGTGCGTACATACGAGTAGTTTCATACACACGTTTTTTTATAAGAAATACCCCTTTAAATGTGGGACATGTGGATCGATACTTAGTTAAATTAGTAGTAGTAGATCGGTTCCAAGTTGTTTATGAAACCTTATAAAAAATAATTTTCTTGATTATAAAAGTATTTACATTGTACATAAATGACATCCTATTACTAACTACTGAGCAAATAATTTTTAACGCATATTTGTACGTACAGAATATTTAAGAGCAAATATTTAATCTTTACTGCTAGAATTCCAATCAACTTATAATCAGAACAAGTTTAAATAAAATCATCTTTTGCAAACTATTTAAAAAAAGTAACTTGTCTACTACCACCATAAAAAGGTTAAACATAAATAAGTTGGATTTCTTTCTTAAGTCTAAAAATAAATCCTTTGTCTTGTCAGAGCGAAACAATAATATGATACAATATTTTAGCATATTTTCATGTATTTTTTTCAAATACTCGCAAATATAAATAAAAGCAAAAATTCCATCCGGGGGTATTTACTTAATCCAGAGAAACGCTCCATGCGTTTCTTGTATAGGGTTATATTATATAGCCCAAACGTTCCAAATAAGCCCTTAATGTTGCCATCATATTTGTACCTTAAACTGTGGAAATCTTCAAGTTAGAAAATATTTATTATTTAAGACTATGTTCAAAAACTTTAACTGCTAACAAAAATTAAGGATTTTCGAATCCATGCAGTAGTAGTAGTACAATCATTTTATGTCATTTCCAAATATACTCACATTTAGATTCACCTTCCTCGGCTATCGTATAATAACACCAGCTGGCTTAGATATCACAAATTAATTTTAGTAAGTATTTAAATTTACATTAAAATAATTATTGCCTTGTATCATTATAATATATCTACACGGATTGTTTATTTTTGATTGCCTTGCCTTGTCTATCAATATAAATAAACTATAAATTAATCTAGCCAGATCGGTTAAGCCGAATTCAAACTTGATGATTATACATAAAAAATATACATTAAATTCGAATATAGGACGGACTCCTTTTTTGAACTTTAAAAATAGGTCAAGACAGTTAATCAAAACTCATTTCACATAAAAATAGAAGGTATCAATAAGTTACTCGATATAACTAAAATATATAACATACTAACTGCCCTTGCAGATGATATTCGGCCCTTTCCGGAATTTAAATTAATAAAAGAAATCCTATGAAATAATATGGATAACAATGATTGTTTCAACAAAACATATTTATCGCGTAATTATTACCTCTATAAGAAGTTATACAATCATCAACAAACGCAATCACAATTAATACATAATATTTTATGTATAGGGAAAAAACTGATCAATTAATGTAAGCAGTCAGACTAAAATAAAAGAAGGGTAATTATATTTTTTCTGCTATTGATTCTTGAACCTTGCAACACTGCAGTGCATCTTTCATCGCTCAGTATTGGTTAGTCTGTGAACGTCAGTCTACATCAAAAATGTCGAAAAGTATGTCAAAGCAATTTCATTTCACAATTCACGAATTTTGAGGCGTTAGTAGCGAAACAAACCGCTCGCGTCCAACCGTGTGTTGGAACAAAAATAATATACCAGTTCGGGAATATTCAACTATCTGGTAAGTGTTAGAATTTCTTTTTTCCAAAAGTGAAATTTTCACGTAACACTGAGCAATAGCGTATTATATTTTATTCATATATCTATATATTTTTTTATTCTCGTTCGTTTTAAATATTTTATGGCACGTACTTTATTTTTATTACATCTACAAAAAGTATTTATGTACATCTATAAAAGTAAAAAAATATTGAAATAGTAATTCAATTCTGTAACTTAACCAGTCCATTATCGCGTGTCCATTTTACCGTAATTTACTTGTTTCGTTAAATAATCACATGAATTTATCGTCTGAGCCAGTTTTGATTGAATGTAAGTTAAAAGTGAAAACTGTTCGTCTATGTCGTCCACTCTCTCTGCGCGACCTTGATTTTTTGGCACACTTATCAAAAAGAGCAGTAAATAAATATTTAGCTTTTCAACAGTGGAATTATTGTGTAATTTTATCTATAAATATCCATATATGTAAAAACACTCATTTTCCTCTTTCATGTAATAAAATAACATATTGGTTTAAAATTTAAATGATTTCTATTATTTAAGGTTTTAAGCTCAATATTGACAAAACAAAAATGGTTTATTTAATATTAAAAATATTATTTAATAAATGAAACAAAATAATTAAGTCATTCATGTGGAGGAAAGTTATTGTGATAAGATATAAAAGATGTGCCTTTTTGTAAAACAGTACATTATGCATTTATTCAGCTATTTTTTGATATTGAAACCTTTATTTGATAAATACATGTATGTCCATTTTTTTTATTTAGTATAATTTAAAAAGTATTTGCATTTATTTTAAATATTACTGTACATTCATTATATATATATATATATATATATATATATATATATATATATATATATAACATATTGTTAACAGAAGGATAAATATAAGATGGAGTTCCAACTCCCTAGATAATCTCATGATCTTTTAATGATAATAAAAGAAAAAAATATATAAGTCCTTTCAACAAGCTAGTTTTGCAAAATCTTAATAAATAATTATTGTTGCCATCATGTAAAAAAGTTAATAAGCCTTATTTAAATTTGTATTTAAAATATAGTTACTTTGGTATAGAAGTATGAGATATATATGTTAATTTAAATTATTTCATTAATTGCAAATGGCGAAAGTGAATTTTTTTATATATTACATATGTAGTCAATATTGTGCTTATTAACCGTACGTGATTACTGATAAGTATGTAAAATGAATGAAATTTTCTAGATTGTTGCTAATGGTGTTTTTTTTTATTAAAAATCATTAAATTCTTTTAAAATAGTAACTAATTATAAGAACTAAACATATAGTAAAACTGTGAGGGGATTGAAAACCTATATTATTATTAGTATATACAAGTTGCTCTCTACTTGCATTTGAGATTTCTCCTTTATTTTAGCCATAGCCAGCAGATAAATTAATTTAGTTGCAGAGATAGATTAAAAAAATTTACATACTGCTTTGCTCGGGTTTATCCCTAGGTATATTTTATTGGTTAGTATGGATATCCCATGTACTGCACATATAATATGGAACTGTACATTTTCCTGACTAAAAAGGAACCTATGAGCTATTCCAGAATATAATCTATCTCTGTGCCAAATTTCATCCAGATCCATTCAGTTGTCTGAAGTGATTAAGTAACAAACATCTATCCATTCAAACATTCACATTTATTATATTTATCGGTATTTTTAATTGATTTAAATGAAATTTTGCATGGTGGTACCTTATATCCCCCGTCAACATGTTAGATGTTTTTCATATTTATATAAAAATATACACGAATTTCCCAAGAAGTGTGACATGCACAACATTAATACTAGGAGCAATTACAAACTTGTAATGCCTGTGGCTCGTCTACACAGAGTCAGTAATTCTTTTTATGGACACTTTATATGCTTGTACAACAGGATCTCAGAAAATGTTCAAAGAGCTTCTATCGGCAAATTCAAAAGAATTGTTAAAGAATGTTTGTGTGCTTAAAGGCTATTATACAATAAATGATTTTATAGAAGATGGCATGCAACTTAACTTTATAAAAAAGATATCAAAAGTCTCGCTGAGTTTCTTTCGTCAGTTCTCAGGTCTGAAGCTTCTTCTTTCCGAACTGTTAGTAGACTCATGACGTTCAGTAAAAAATTGTAATAATTTAATGCTGAATAAAATATTTTGATTTGAATCCGAGCTAAGCGAGGGTGAGCTGTTAGTTTGGAAATAAATATGAAAATATAAATGAAATTCAACTACAATTCCCTCTTCTGTGTACTAATAATGTTGTTAATAAAAAAAAATCATAATTAGCATTTCTCTTACATTGCAATATTATATGGCTAGATCCATATAATTTTAATAAAATAAATGAATAATAATAATATTTATATAAAATTGTAATATATAAAAAAATAATATAAAAAAATACATTTACAAATCTATAAAAAAAGATGATAGACAGATGTAATAATAGAACAAAGTTAATAAAAACTTTTTTCTCTTGATGTTAATTACTTTTTTTATTGAACTGCTTGTGGCCGGTACGATAGTAAAAATATGATTTAAAAAAAATTTAGCAAAAGATAGATAAAGTTAAAAAGAAACTTTGTTGACACTTTACTACTTTTTTATCGATCGAAGATAAAAATAGCTGTAAATAATTTATTCAGTTTTATATAGAAATATTTACTAAGTATTTTATTTTGTTTTTAGCACTGCATATTTGCAGTAAAAACTCCTGTGTTGGGGCAGTGTCGGCATTCGGTATGTATATTCCAATTATTTTTAATTTTACAAGTTATTTGCTCCGACTTCTCTCAGATATCCCTAGTTAAGGTAATCTCACGCCTTGCATGATTTTTCATATATTTTTGAATTTCGTCTGTGAATTACTTGATTTACTGTAATAATATTTTCGAAGTAATCAAAATCGATCTGTAAATATTTTATGACGATATTTTTCCTAAAATTTGGATTTTTTTTTTTTTATTTGGTTAAAGTAAATATATGTTTTGGGGCGAAATTGTTTATTCTAAAAGGAAAACCAGATATACTATATGTGCCTTTTATTTTAATTATGTATGTGTACAGAGAAAGCGAGTTAGATCGTGTGTTAGATAGCCGTATGTTAGTAAGCTTGCGGTCAACTTTCGTCTTAAACATTTTAATGGGAATTGAATCCGCGACCTTCATCTTACACGGCCAAAACTAATTTTGACCGACTTTATTAAATGTGAAGGTTTTTTTAAATGTTTGTTTGTATGTTAAGTGATATCTTCGCACATGTTTATCGTAATTCGAAGATTCTTTTTTTTTTATGGACGACACGTTTGGCTCAGTCTGTAATGACCCTACTTGCTGCGCCAGCGGTCGCGGGTTCGAGTCCCGCTGAGGGGCATTCATTTGTGTGATGAGCACGAATGTTTGTACTCCAGTCATGGATGTTTATATTTATAATATGTATGTATTTAAAGTTATATATGCATAATGTATCAACTATCTGGTATCCATAACTCAAGCCTCGTAGCTTACCATGGAACTAGATGGTGCTGTGTGTTAATGTTCTGACATATTTATTATTTATTTATTTATTATTATTATTTTTTCTGACAACCCCAAAAAATATTTTCAAGCGTGGCTATAGTATAGGTATATTAATTAAAACTAACGACTTGACGAACAACGCTCGCGTTCGTTCCTTCGTACGTTTCTACCCAGTGGTTTTCTCCTGATGAGTTGCCAGACAGACAGACAAAAAATTTAAAAACTACAGTTTCGGCCTCTGTATGGAGATTGGAGATTTGACTCCAGACTTTTATTATACGTAGAGATTAAAAATAACTTATTTTCAACTGAGCTTTTCTATACAAGATTATAATAATTATGGATACACCAAAAGTCTTGAATTGACAAACTGTTACATATTCTATCATAAATATTGATTGATTTGAATCATACGCTTTTGTATTTCAAACCATTTTCGACTGTTACGATATGTATCTATGTAAGTCGATAATGTCTGATCAGAATATTAATATCGCCTTTACGTCATTCTTAAGTGCGGTACATGCATATATAATTAATGTGTTGCCAGACTTGGTAGGCAGTAGAAGATTTAATTAGCGCGAGAATCCTGTGTTCGTAGTTCGTACAGCTTCGAAAAGCTGTGAAACTTCGTTTCTTGTAGCCTCCTTGGTGAAATATTTGCAAATAACTAGTTAATGGTCATCTGTTCAAAATATTTTTAAACTAGCGACTCACCCTCGCGCCGCTCGTGTTCGTCTCTACTTACGTTTTAACGTTTAGTATAGATTTCTCAGAGATGAGATATTTTCGTGCAGTAAAAACTAAAAAGTATCCTATATATTGACCCGTATAACCAGCTATCATCGTACCAAATTTCATCAAAATCTGCTCAGTGGTTTTATCGTGATGCGTTTCCAGACAGACAGTCCTAAATGCTATAGCCTCTGTATCGATAATAATGACTATTTCAATAAGATTTGCCCCAAAAAATATTTAATTTACAGATTCGACTCAGTTAGAATTTTATTATATGTACAGATAATGTCACCCAATATATTTTAACGTTTCCAGTAGAAACAACTCCATATAAGAAGCTTAGTGAATGATGTGAACCTTAACCTGCTAAGTTTTTTTGAGAATTTTCATCCAACAAAAATACCATTTGCGAGCGATCAGAATTTACCTATGTCCTAGATATTATTTAGTTTAAATCGTGCTTATATATACGTTACTAGCATTGCCCGCGGCTCCGCCCGCGTTCAGATGACCAAAAATCAAATTCTTAGGTTTTACATATTAGTATACTCCTACAGTGCAGTTTTTGTATTTTTTCTCAGAAATGAGATTTATTTTCCCACGGTAAAAAGTATCCTATATGTTGACGCGGATAACCAGCTATCCTCATACCAAATTTCATCAAAAACCCTCCAGTGGTTTTTCTGTGATGCGGTAACAGACAGACAGAAACAGACAAAAATTCTAAAAACTATAGAATCGGACTCTGTATCCATAATAATGTCTATTTCAATTAGATTTTCCAAAAAATATTTAATGTACAGATTCGACTTAGTTACAATTTTATTATATGTATAGATTTAAGATGATGATGTTCTCCTAGCCGATTTCGGCCACGGCGGCCAATCTCATTGAGACTAGCCAACTGCGCAGGAGATATTATAGTGCACAAGTGTACGCGCAGACACAACGTGCACTCTCTATTCCTGTCACTCTCATACTCCGGTGGGACGACCACTCGACACGACCGGTGAGAGTTAAGGCGCAGGACCGACGGCTTTACGTGCTCTCCGAGGCACGGGGGTGAAACACCGCCAACTTCCCAAGGCTTACTATACAGAAAGACTCAATAAATAAACTTGGCCCGACCCGGGACTCGAACCCAGGACCTCCGGGTGTGCAGCCGTACATGCTAGCCACTACACCACCGAGGCAGTCGATTAGATTGTAATTATGGATACTATGGATGTGCTTTATCGATAAAAATGGAACTTTTCATTTTTCCGATTATTATATTATCTGTATATGTATAATAAAAAAACTTTGGCTAAAGCTCGCTGAACTTCTATACCTTAAAAACTCTAAATAAAGCCGCGTCATACTACTTGTGTAATGAAATTCGCGGTATTCTATTTGCACTGTGATGTATCACTTTTAAACTCAATTAGATCGTTTAAAATCAAAAGTCATCGATGTATGGTACGTGAAGTAAATATGATGTCATGATACAATTCAGTCTGACACAGCATATCCTACTTGTTCCTAGTATTATATGGGAAAATCCACAGATAAATTTCAGGTACACACGCATCTTGTTCTCTTAGAGATTATACATATAGTAAGTGGTAACTGATGTAAATGTGTGTCTAAAATTATCGAACAGATTTTCGTAAGGTTTTCACCGATAGATGGAGTGACTCATGAGGAAGGTTTAGGCATATAATTCATTGAGATTTTGTGTAAATTGTCTGAAATATGACGATAATAATTGTTGAAGATGTCGGAAAAAATCATGTCGATAGCGAGCTTTATTGGCATGCTTTACCTATATGAAAATAATGTATTACAGAATACTGTCTAAGAGAAATCCTTCCTATTTAACTGTAGCAATGCTATGTGCATGTACCCAGGGACACACGTGAGCGAAGCGTGGTATGGTATGGTATGTTTGGGCTAGTTTCCGCAACTCGACGTCTGTGCGATTATTTTTGCGTGTGTGGGAATTTAAATTCTTGCCATACCAGTTCCTCCAGGAAGTTCTGCACCCTCTTCGTCTTACCGAAGATTTCCGGGAGTGTACTAAGGGTGCCAAGATGTTGAGCCCGGTACGCCGCTACATCTGGACAATACAAGATTACATGTGCAGCAGTTTAATCTGCCGCCATGCATGCCCTGCAAAGTGGGCTGTCAGTTATACCTATATTAAATAGATGTTTGTTATATGGTCCGTGGCTGGTTAAGCCCGCGGTTATCTGCGAGCGAAGCGTGTTCGTCCAATGGTCGAATTTGAGCATAACATAAAAAAAATACTAGAAAAAAAAAACTGATGAAAAAATGTAAATTCAGATATTTTTTAATACTTTCTTAGATTTACGCGAATATTTGAAATTTTAAATAAAACTTTCTTTTCTGATTTTTTCGCGTATTTATTTTGATTTTTGCCTTCTGACGTTTCAAATGCTTTACAGCAATCATGGTCACGGGAGAGACTGAGGTTTCAGATGTCTCAAAGGCGCTTTATTGTTGTTACAGACAACAAAATCAATCAGATATGTTTTCCTCAAATTTTCAATAATATAGAAATTATGGTCTAACTAGCGTCTCACCCTCGCTTCGCCTCTAGAAAAACAAAAACAAACCGATCCCACGGGAACCGTACATTTTTCCGGAATAAAAAATACCCTGTGTGTTATTCCAGACTATAATCTATCTCTGTGCCAAATTTCATCCAGAGCCGTTCAGCCGTTCTGCCGTGTTTGGGTAACAAACATCCATAATGGCAAACTTTCACATTTATAATATTTATACAGATTTCGACAACTTGGCGAACAGTAGTTTTATATAAATCAATCAAGTGCCAATCACTTGCGTAGTATACAAATTAAGTATCTAATAGAACAATGTACTTAGTGTATTTACGTTTCAAAGCACGTAACACGAGTGGTGCTGGTATTTCTACTCGATGACAATATATTTAAGTTTTGAAACAAAAGCATTTGTTATATTAATAAAACTAGTTATACTTCCATGAAAACTGCCTAAAGTTACTTTTCAGAGAAAAAAATTGTATATGGCTTACATGCAATGGTCTTTCCGTGCTGTCTGTCATATATATTGTATACTAGTATTGCCCGCGGCTCCGCCCGCATTCAAATGACCAAAAACCAATTTCTTAGGTTTTACATATTAGTATACTCTTACATTGCAGTTTTTGTTTTTTTTCTCAAAAATGAGACATTATCCCGTGGTAATCAATATCCTATATGTAGACCCGAATAACCACCTATCACCATACCAAATTTCATCAAAATCCCTCCAGTGGTTTTTCTGCGATGCGGTAACAGACAGACAAAAATTCTAAAAACTATAGAATCGGCCACTGTATCGGTAATAATGTTTATTCCAATAAGATTTTCCAAAAAATATTTAATGTACAGATTCGGCTTAGGTACAATTTTATTATATGTATAGATTACATAATGTATATGGTTATCTCACGCAAA